AAAAAAAAAAAAAAAAAAAAAAAAACCAAAAAAAAACCCCCCCCCCCCCCCCCCCCCAAAAAAAAAAAAAAATCAAAACCAGGCTTCTGCTTTGAATCTCCCACTATAGTCACCTTTTTCTCCACAAACTATAGAAAGCACTTAGGGACACAAACACCCCTTCTCCTGTTTTAACCACAGAACTTGACACGTAAAAACCACTGATGATACAACATCCTCATGCAGTAAGAGAAAACATTATTAAAAGAAAAGTAAATTAATAACATACTTTTCATGGTCCCATCTTCCTCTTCATCATCATCACTGTTTATTACCATGGTCCCCAAGTCTGATTCTAACATAGTACTGTTGTGTTCAATCATTGTCTGAGCGCCTTCACTCATCGTGCTTGTGGCCCTCATGGTACCAGCACTCTCTGAACTGGTCTTCACCATGGTATGAGAGTCCAGCTCATCTTCATCCTATGAAGAAACATTTGTCAGAATGCAGCAGATCGTTAAAAAAACCCCAAAGTTAAGAAGCAATCATTTAGATGTTCATTCATTAGTTTTTGTATCTTCACATGACCTAGTTGTACTGCTAGACTTCCAGGTTTAAAACTTTAAAAGAAATTACAAAATAAAAAATGTTCCCTATAAAGGAAGAATATAAGCTTTCTTTCTCACAGATGTACAGCAGGATGGATATACCAGAAATGCGGCCCGCACACTCACTTTGCATCGGCAGCCAGTTTTGAGTATCTTGGCGATTTTCATGACCCATTATACCTCCTTGGGTTCCAAAATCAGTACCACATTTTATAGAAAGTGATTTGGTTGTTGTGCAATGGACTATCACCAAGCATTTGTGCTGATCACCCTTAACTAAATATCATGCCCAGCATCTTACATTACACACAGCACCCAGATGACAGGCACCCATTCAATTTAGGTATTAAACAATGCTCCAAAATAGTTTTGGAAGTCCACTGCAGAAACAGAAAAATCACCTTGGCTTACTTCAAGTATTTAGTTCTCTTTAAAAACCTCTGTCACAAGAGCAAGCAAAATGTTGATACTATGTAGAAAACTACCTGTAGAGCAGACACTTAACTACTAAGTGGGTGGGGGAGCTAATATCATGACAAGATACAATAGCATTTTCAATCAGTGACAATAATGGGCCAGGAATGTGAAACAGAGAACTAATGGCAATCCAGTTAATAAATTACAAAATTCATATGGAATACCAGTATTTGAAAACATTAATGGGAAATCCCACTCGTTTCCAAAGTCTGATTTAGATTATATGCACAACAGCATTTCGGGAATAATGTGAGGGACTATACACATTTTCTATATGAGTAAAAGCTATTACCCAAGGGGAAAACAGAACAAAACACCACCCCCAAACAAACAAAACCAACAACAACAAAAAACCAAAACAAAACTAAAAAAACCACCCAAGCCCCCAAACCCTACAAGGTCTGGCACTTTCTGTTTCTTACTGAACTTGTTCCTTTCCTTTCCTGTTATTCCCTGAAGCAGCAGACAATTTGCCTCTAGTATAGACCTAAGCGCACGAGCAGGCTACGCTGCCTGAGTGCCTGCTCTCTAATGGCTGGTCTGAGCAGATACTGAGAACTGTAGTTAGTAGCAATACCAATACACCAGCTCTTGAAAATTAGTCTATTACGTTTCAACAAAGAGACACAAAGATAGATCTAATTTTGATTCAGAGAGTCTGGCTAACAGCATAACGTACTGAAACCAGGACAGAGATCTAAATCTGTGATTAAAGTTTTAAATGTCAAAAGAATCATTATACTTTGTAAAAATATTAAAGTTCTTCATTTGCATTCTTTCTGGGTTTTTTTAGTTGCATCCTAAAACACTATATTTAGTACCCTACCCTTAAAAAAAATATGATATTCCCAAAGATACAGATAGTTTACAGCTACAGCGTTAGAGGACGGTGCCAGTGAATAAATCAGAATATTTTAGTACTGCTCCTCCTGGTGGCAACTTTAATTTTCTTTACACACCCCCCCCCCCAACATTCTTGCTAACCCCAGTGGTTTTTACAAGTTATATTTTTCCCTTTCTAACAAGGGTACTCAAAGTAAAGTCCAAAAGTGTCTTTTTGCATTGCATTTTAAAAGTGCCCGAACAATTAAGTTATTATTGTTATTATTTCCAAGTGCTTCTTTCACTACTGCAATACAATGCAAAACTGACTCACAACGTACTGCTAGTTCTCCTATTAAGCACTACAAATGTGGCGTCTCTGATGTACAGGCAGGCAAATGTCTGAGCTTAAGGCACAGTTACATTTGATTTACAAATTTGTTTGACTAATATTTATATCCACTTGCAGTGCATATGGTTCTAAACTTACTAAAACCGAAATCAGAAATGAAGCAAACACTTTCCTGAGGCTTAAAAGTTTTATTTTAGAAGTTAGTGGAAAAAAAGTGATGGCTAACAATAAGAACAAGTATGAAATGGAGTCCTAAGTGGCCATTTTCGTATCTTCTGCTTCATTAAAAACACTGATATTTTATATCTTCAGTCAAATCAAGTCACTGGATTTGTTCCAAAGACTAGCATTTCATTTTCCAGCCTAAGAGTGTCAAAAGCCTTTATCTTACTCTTATCTCTCAGCAAAGAGAACAGTTATCTTCTAGTACCTAGAAGACTAAGGATCACAAAAGCCCACCTTGGTACTAAAAGAACAGTTGTCCCAAAAAGGGCAATACATGACAATTTTGATCAACAGTGTTTTCCCTAGATCAGGAATGATGTACTGAGAGAGAGAGAGCAATATAAATTGGGGGGGGGGGGGGGGGGCCTTCCCCAAAATATTTAATTTTGTGGGTTAAGCCAGATTGCTCCCAGAACTACCATTCCAGTATTTCTCACAAATATGAGATATAGTTAATATGGCAGTAGACTATACTAGATCTGAAAAAGTAATTTTATAAAAATATCCAGTGGATCCAAGTCATCTAAGTGCACATTTACACGAGAGATGAAAGTGATTCCGTTGTACAAATTCTGATTCATGCCTTACAGTTTGTAAATATTAATGTAGAACTTCTGATCTGTTGTTAAAAAAGGTAAACCCACTGATTAAATAAAAACAAACACAATCTCAATTTTAACCAGGAAAAATATAAGGTCTTAAAGCTGAAGTGTCATGTTCTCATACTGTTTATGAAAACAGATCCAAGAATCAAGCAATAAAACCAGCTAACTCTGGAATTAAACTCTCTGCTGTTCTCTTGTGTACAAGTAATAAGCACTAAACTTGTATTTGACAGGGGTTTGATACACCAGTAGACAGCAACAGAAACAGCGCACGAGCGAGAGCACTAACATCTCTTGAAATGCTACAGAAAATACAATCAGCTACAGAAACTCTGAACAACATTACAGCGTAAAGTAAGTACAAGTAAAACATTGCCAATAGCCTGCAACCCTACGGGACTAACTGTTTGGATCTCCTTATTTACCAAAATAAGTTAGAAGATTAACAAAACCAACCCTTAAAGCATGAAAATGCAATCATAGAGACTTAATGATCAGGACAGCCAATTCAAAGAGACTTTAGGGGAAATAACAGGCAAGACTTTACAATATGCTTGTAACATAAAAGATCTCATCATCACACGAGAAGGTTTCTCGGAAAAGATGGCCTTGCACATCATACCTGAGTCTACATCATGATAGAAGCGAGTGAGCTGAGGTGATAAAGATTAATGGATTTTTCTGTTGCATTTTTAACATTCATAGGAAAATACGGGATGAGGACTGATAAAGAAAAAACTAAACAAGACAAGCAAATACGGCAGCTTGCCTTTAAAATCTCTTTAACTATGGTTTGTGCATGTAAAAAGAACACTAGGGGGCACCAGAGACAGCTAACTAGGCTGCAATACATTAAAGGAAGATTTACATGCTGGCAAAATTTAGTATCCTGTAAAATAATTTCATTTACTATTAACACCTCATCATCACCTTTGAAAAATGTGGCTGTAGTCACAGCTATCTTTTTGTAAAAGCACTGTAGCAGCTACATAAACACATAATACAGTTTGGTCAAGAACAAGGATTTTGTAAAAGTTCCTAACGCGTACAAAGCCCAACTACAACCTGAGTACGTACTTCACACTGAGCACGCATTTAAGTTTAAACCCATCAGAAAAACAGGTAAAGACTTAACTTTCAGCACACACTCAAATCCCATCAAATTCAATAGATATATATCACGAAACAGCATTTAAGCTTGTTTTCTACCTCCTTCTAATTGATATACCTAGTAACAATGACCTGCTGCTCACAATTACCTCCCTATGTTTACTCTTCCTATAATTGGTTTCTGGCTCTAAATTGCTGTGGATTTTAACAATATGCTCTTAAAAAGCTGTTTATGCCCGTTGGGTAGCTATATTTCACTTGACAAAGTCATCTTTACATATTTCTAACTTCAGGACACTTAAACGACTGCAATCAAATTTAATTAGCACACGTCAAGTGTTCTTTGACTTAAAGGAAAACTACTATGAAAACAGAAAGTTTTAACACTGTTTGACATGCAAAGTTACATATATAGATCTTTATACAGATACACAGATATATCATATACATACTTTCCTGCATCTTTCATGTGTTCGTAAATGTAAAAACCTTCAGAAAAATACAGCCTAGTGTATCAGATTTAAAATACAGAACAACTCAAATGACTCACTAGTTCCTTTAAAAGAACTATATAAATATTGTAAAAATATAAAGGAATAATTACAGCAATTATTTCTTAAGGTCTCAAAAGAAAGATGCCAACTTCTCATAATTAATATATGATTAAACAAAGAAACTTTTGTATGAATGAATAAATAAGCCTACATGTAGGAATAATTGATTATTGATGGTTGGCTAAGTTGTTGATAGTTGTCAACCAGTACATGTCTAAGAAAAACAAAAATGGAGTACTGAAGTAGTAATTCCTTGTCTGAATATTCTAAAATAATTAAGCATTTCTCGCATAATAGAGACATTAAAATGTAAAAGAAAACATACAGGAAGAGCTGCTTGTTAGCTCATTCCTTTAAAGATCCACAGAAATAAATATTTAGACATGTTTCCTGAGAGCTGCCAGGCAACGAGTTACTTTACATTCCCGTAATACAGCTGCCCAGCCTCAGCATCCAATTCACATCACACTTCAGAAAATGCACGAGAGAAGAAATCGGTCATGTTTAGTGCTGCCTAAACTAACATTTAAACTTTGATATTGGGATTAACCTTCTGTAGAATACACCACTTGCAATTTTTGCTTAATTAAAAAAATCTGTACAATTACCTCAGCACCTATCAAAACATGTCAGTTTGTCAGAAGGCATTCTCATCACATGAGCAGCTCTCGTAATAGGCATAAAATCAATTCAGAGCACACTATTTGTAATGATATTACATCTCTCTGG